CGGATATGATACAATTTTGAGATCTCCCTCGATCTCCCTCGAAACGTATGATGTTTCCCTCATCATCCTCAAGCTCTAAGACCTTGGTGTAGCAATCAACTCTAGCATGATGCTTTTCGAGCCAATCCATCCCTAGGATTGCATCAAACTCCAACATACTTAGAGGTACGAAATCACAAGTCAAAGGTTGACCTGTCACTTCTATCTCACACGATTCATAATAGTGGTCCCTCTCCACATCATCTCCTAACGCTGTGGAGACTAACAAGGTCTGAGTCATCAGCGTCAATGACACGTCAAGACCTTCGGCAAACGCTTCGCTCGCAAAAGAACGTTGCGCCCCGGTATCAATGAGAATTCTTGCGTTTCTTCCATTGAACAAAAGTGTTCCTACATTTACAGATGATGTGAGACACCCTACCCGAAGTACCGAATCAAAAACGAGCTAAAATTGTTTTTTTTAAGTTGTACTGGACCGGCGCCGGTTCTGGGCCTAACCGGCGCCGGTTGGGCGGATTTTTTTTTGTCGGAAATGGGGTACGCACGCATGCGTCCCTCCCACGCACGCGTGCGTGGTTGGCAGTAGGGTAACAGAGTGTTTTAACGCAACGAACGGCGCCAGTTAGCCCAAAAACAGGGGACGCATGCGTGCATCCGTTCGCACGCGTGCGTGCGTGGGTGCCAGTAGCGGTTTAGACGCTACGTCCGGCGCCGGTTGGCTGGGGGACGGCGCCGGTTGGGCCCTGGGAAGCCCCTTCCCCTTTTTCTTGCTCCTTTTACTTAGAAACCGACCGACAAAGTCACCGGCCGGCCCGTACAACCCCGCTATCACTTCTAACACATTAATACACATATTTTATCAAGCATTAGCAAGGGATTACCTGCAACGGAGTCGGGGTTGGCCCGAGCATCGGCCTCGGTCATCGCGTAGACCCTTGCTTGGGCCCTGCCTTGGTTAACGGACGTGGCGTTGCTCGTTGACGCGCCACCTCTTCCCGTGCCACCCTGTGACGGTCCTGCACGGTTCCACCACGTCATGGCCCCTCCTCCGGCTCCCGATGCATTTCCTTGTGTCAATTGAGGGCAATTGGCCTTCAAATGGCCCGCATTCCCGCACTTGAAACACCTTGGTGGTTCATTGCACTTCCCAAAGTGTTGTTTGGTGCAATTGGGGCATCTAGGTGCCCCCGAACTCTGTGGCCTAGGTTCGTGCCACCTTGCATCCCTATTCTTCTTTGCCGGCGGCGCCGGTGGTCTAAATGAACCATCACCACCACCGTGGTTGTTCTCCCGAGAATGATCGGGTTGCCCCAAATTACTCCATTTCCTCTTTTTCGCCTCTTCAGCGTCCCTTTCCTTTCTCTCGTTCCATTGGGTTTCCCCAAGCATGCCCTGCTCCACCACCTCACTAAACGTCATGTGGCGCAAGTATGTGGCCCGATCACGGATGTCCAACAATAAGGCATCCCAAAAGTGTTCGGTCATGCAGTCCTCATCGGCCGCATACTCTGGTAAGAACTTAGCCAAGGTTCTAAACTCTTGCTCCAATTGCTTAACGGTCACGCCCTCTTTCTGTTTGAGGTTCGTGTACTCTCTACGCTTCACATTCACCTCATAGTCCGAGTAGTATTGGGCGTAGAACTCCTGTTCAAAGCTTGCCCATGAGATGATCCCACGGTACTTTCCTTCCATACTCTCCCACCATGTAGAAGCTATCCCTTCAAGCAAACGTGAAGAAACGGTCAACTTCACGTCAGGTGTTATTTGCATGTCTCTAGCTGCATCTTTCACCTTCTTTATCCAATCGGCGGCAACGGTAATATCGCCGGTGTCGTCGAAGGACCTGCACCCCAAGGCTCTAGCCTCCTTGAGGTATTTGGAGATCCTCACACAGAAATCTCCCTCACGTCTATCCCGAGATGCCCCTGAAACAGCCCTTGAAGCCCCCCGGCTCCCTTGGCCCGATCCGCCTTGAGAGGCACGCCTAGCTTTGCGTCTAAGATCCCTCCTCAGCTTTTCCTTTTGATACCATTCAAATAGCTCACCCATCTGAGCAAAACGTGCATCACTTTCACTATTGTCATCATCATCATCATCCGTGTGGAAATCGCCCCCATCATATGGGGTTTCCTCATGCTCCATCTCCGGAACGAAAGTCAGATCATAGTTCCCGGTGTTAGTCTCAAACACCGAGCTCATGTGGCCATCGCTAACTGTTTGGGCGCGGTGGCCCCCACGGCCTACACGACCTCCTCTTCTCCCCCTAGAGCCAAGGGATGTGGCTCGGCTAGCCCCCACGGAGGCTCCCGTAGCTAGTCCCCTAGGGTTGTTCCTCGTCGGCATACGTCTACCCTCCATTTCTACAAAGAAATTTGAACGAGTCGTTAGACTGCAATCAATGTCAATTGACGGAACACGTTATAGACACATATCGGCCCAAGTCACCGCCATACCAATTGTTAAGGGTACCATCTTAACAACTAGAGGCCTTGCAACCTAGCTAACAATAGTTCTATGAACGTCAAAATACAATGCTCATGGTTTTCGGTAAAAATTTCTTTTTTGCAAAATTTCATGTGCGAGATTGATTACATAGTTTAGAACTGAGATGGCTCTGATACCACTTAATTGTCACGCCCCAGACCACATCTAAGCGCGTGTACAACTGCCGTGTGATTAAGTGACGTCACTCGCAAGTCAACCTCAAATAATCACACAAGGCGTTCATGAACATCGTTCACACCATACTCACTAGTAAACATACATAACAAAATCATATCATAGATTGAATGAATAGCGAAAAATATTCAACGGTCAATCATAAGCCACATATGGCAAAACGTAGGCTCGCAGGCCAAAAGAATGTAATATTACAAAAGTATCCATGAGCATAGTTTATGATTTATAATAATAAAGGAAGCACGAACCACGTCTTCCTCTAGATTCTTTCCACCCGTGCAAAGGTGTAGACAACAGGCTCTAGCTTCAACCGAAGGGGTCATTCCTTGACTTAAAACCCCAACCCACCCATAGACCTATGAGTGTATAGGACTCCTCCTGTCCAAATCAAATAATCATAAGGACACCGCCCGGTCCTGAATTACTAAATAGTAATCTATGAGTTTTGAGGATACACGCCCGATCCTTGGGTACTCCACCCTATATCACCGAGTTTTGAGGATACCGCCCGATCCTTGGGTACTCCACCCGTCCTATGATCTACCACATATCATACTAGATAGAGCCTATATCATAATCAATAAACAAGACTAGACCAAGTCTTAAGGCCTAAACAAAATCATCCATGCAACTCATGCATTAAAATTAGCATATAGGTAAAGTAAGGCCAAACCGGCGCCGGTCAACTCTCGGTTGACCCGCCATTCCAAATCCAATGTGTGTCACACTTAGTCACAATATGTACTAAGGTATAAATAACTATTTTATGCAAATTTCATCTCTAAACATATCACATATGTTTTTGTGAGCATTTCCACTTCACAAATCATGCATATTTCAATAGTTCACTTCATACAAGCCTAATCACTTTAATTGGCTAATCACATGTTTAATTCATTTAAACATTATTATGAACACACATAACATATACTTAGGTAATCCCATTCTTAACCCAAAAGTTACAAGACATTAAGCCATCCACTCACCTTAAATGCATTATAGCGTGTTCTACGCTCTTCGGTTGAACTCCGGCGGAACTCCGGCGAAACTCCGGCGAAACTCCGGCGAACTCTAGAAACACCTTAGTTAAGCTCCTAACATGGTTTTATCATCACAAAACTCATATCATTACAAATAACCTCCAAAAGGTTATTTTTCGGTGAACCGGTCGTTTTGGCTTCTAAGTCCGTTCTTGGACTTAGTACCACCTTCCAACCCCTCATTCTACACTTCTAAATGTGTAGAATGATTCTAGGAGTGCTCCATAGGATATAGAATACGTATGGAAATCAAATGTTGGAATAAAAGTTATTAAAGAACTTCTCACCTTTATTTTCCAAGTTTTCCTCTACTTTTGCTACTTCCTTTTCATCCTTGAGTTTCTTGTTGTTTTAGCTTGCTTTGGCTATGGAAAATGAAGTTGCAGAGCTTTCTTTCTCTCTCCCCTTGGTGCTGGCCGAAGTTTAGGTGAGGAAGGGAGGGGGTGGGCTTCCTTTTTGTCTCTTTTAGCAATGAGTGAAAGAAAAGGGGTCCACCTCCATTTAATTTAGGTGCCCCATCATCACCATCACTCCTCTCCCATAATGCATCCCCTTTTCAAACTTGAGCACAAAAACGTGGTGTGGCCCCCACTTATGTGGGAGGTCATCCCTTTGTGCCCCGATTTGGACAATCAGTCCCGAAAGTTGTATTTTTCGGACTGTTTTAAATATATTTTATTTTATTGGGTCAAATAAAATATATTATGTCTTTCCCATCCTTATGGACTCTTAGAATGAATATACATTTCTCATCTTTAATTTAGAAGTCTCCGAAATCTGTTTCGGTCTGTTATCTGATAAAGTGCCTATACCGGTAATTGGGCTTCGTTTGACTGACGGGTCAACCCTAAGCCCTTTCTATGGCCCAACTAAAATATATACCATCATATAAATATTATCTAGACCAAGATGAATATAATATGTGGACCCGGAATTACCGGACGGTCCCCGCTCCCGGTCTGGGCTCCACGTGCAGTTCACTATTCACGCGAAAGAAATAACCAAAAATTTACAACCACGTAAATTCATAAATCAATATTCAAGATTTATTACATGATTTACTAAAACGTAAATATATTTGGGGACGGTGTTACATGTTAGGAGGGCAACTATGAAATTATATACAGAAATAAAACAATATTTCAGAATGCACGTATTATAGTAGAAAATAAACTCACGAGTCAAATATTGGGAAATGAAAGACGTTCTAGTCACATGAGGAATAATTATCTCTTAAAGTAGTGCATTAAGTAATGATTAGAAGTATTTTGATGGTCATGTAGGATAAGCAGGAGGGCAATGCAAAAGAGGCTGAAGTGGCGCAAAGTTAAGATGAGTAGGGGATTGAAGACATTGACCCAACAACAAACGAAGATAATGTAGAACCACTGGACTCCCATATTATGGTAAGATGAGCATAGTATGTATGTAAATGAGTTGAAGTTATGTGTTGAATATATCGGAAGATGTGATATTTTAATAGTGCAACCGTTGAGTATCGGTTGCTAAAATATTTGTACTTAGGCTATATTATTGCATTTAAGAGGGAAGATGTAGTCTGTAGCAATGTCATACGTTCATACTCATGTTCGTAATTCAATTAATATTAGTTTTATCAAAATGGTTGCTGAAAAGTTTTTTTGGGGTAGATCAGCAGGTATACACAGGAAACACACCCCCGCTGGCAGTTGATGACATGTCAAAACGACAGTCAAAATGCCCAGACAGATTCACCTTTTCTGGACCCCGAAAAGAGAAAAGGAGGAGGAAACAAGAAAAGGGAAAGGAGCAATATATAGGTGATGATGTAGGGCATGCAATAGTTGGCCCATTAAATCTAGATCCTTCAGAAATGCCACATGCAGAATTGCTTCAAAAAACATCAGAAATCATGCATGATGGACTACTTAAAAACCACAAAAGGATTAAGGAGAGGAAATACAAAACAGGATATGATGAATTTTAAAGATCACATGCATGAAAGGAGGATTGGGGGGATGCAATCATTGATAGGAAGTCACGGTACTACACGATATACTTCCCATGGATTTGGTTAAGCGACACAGTAAGTTTATATTATTTAATAAAAATTATTTTCATAATTCCGCATGAATTAATTCGTATTACTTATAATTACGAGTGTTACGCAGTAATAAATACTAAAGGCAGTAAATTTGTTTTTTGAAGCATGTGGAGGTAGGGATGTATTTCTTATGGATGAAAGCTGAACAATATAAGCTGCATCAGAAATTCAGGACAACAAACACTATGTTTATGCGTTTGGTGAAACAGCATTACGACAACCACATTAACAATGAAACGCCAGTGTGAGACAGTGCTTTAAATAGGAATATAATGGGTATCATACTTGAGACACGTTTGGACTACGCACTGCCATGGGCTAAATCAGAGCATGTCTACATGCCATATAATACAGGTAACCATTGAATTACTTTGGTGAGTTGTGAATAAATGATAGAATTGTGTGACAATAAACTAGGACAATATTTTTAGGGAAATACAGGTTTTATTTGAGGTAGTGCAGTAAATTTAAACTCAAAATTTGGTGACTTGTATACATGCCATTGAATACAAGTAACCATTGGATTCTTCTAGTGTTGGACATAACTTCAAAGTGCATATGTGTGTACGATTCTAGCGTTCGTCGGGGTCAAACAAACATACACCTTCACCATTACCTCCCGAGCATGCAAATGTTTTTACCTAGATTGATGGATAAGCTAGGAGTGTACAATGATCGAAGTGAGGGGCCTATTGGGGAGGACTTATTACAGATACATATGGTGAAAGAATGCCCACAAAAAAATGATAGGTAGGTGATTTATTCAACGGTGGTGTTATTATAAATGAATACTAATTCATGAAGTGATAATTTTATTTATTCCTGAACAGTGACAGTTGTGGATGTGTGTGTTGAAGATGGTTGAGTATCTTATGATGGGCAAGGATGTTGAGTGCGTGAGGCCAGAAGATATGAATGCTTACCGCGACAAGATGACGATAGAGCTACTAGTTCATTTTGGTGTCATAGAAGTGTAAACTTGAAAAACTAATGACGAATGTTTTTTGAATTTTGAGAGATGGATATTAGGATAATGGATATAATAGATTGCATTATTGTTTTGATTTTGAATGTCGGCTTTTTGAGAATATTTATCACACATGTTGAACTTTTAATTTTAATGGTTTTGTCTTAAATGTGTATTTGTTGGAGTAGATAAATGTTATTGCGCTACTTATAGATGGACTGATTATATATCTTGAGTTATTATGTGGACAATTGGTAATGGTTGTAAAAAGTTGCAAGAAAATGAATCAAAACGTGTCACTTATGAATTAAGTGTATTACTGGACAATGATGTATGAGTATGTGGTTTTTAGATTTTATTTGAAGCATTCAAATTTCAAAAACAAAGTTGACATTCCCAGGATACTAGCGAAATAGGAACTAAACTCCATAACGTTTAGCCATATAATCTCCCCTTTATTTAGTGTCTCTATTTCGCATTTTCTTAACATTATACTGAAGCAATTAAGTAAAATACCGATTAATTAACGTTTACTGTTGACTGGAGTGTGTGTGGGAAAGGAATGAATTGTGACAAGTATTTTTGTGAGTGAATGAGATTAAGCTGGTATATGCACATGTGCTTGTGAAGGGCAGTAAGAATGGACAGTAATATGAACATGTACATAAATACATTAATGCTAACATAATCTGTAATAGTGAAAATTTAAATAGTTTTGTGTAAGACATAAAGTAAAATAATGTAAACGAATTTAGGGAAAACGAAATGACATGGGAAAAACGAAATGACATGGATACACTTATAGGACTTGGCGAGGGTAATGAGTGACATAGGCAGTCTGCATAGGGGATTAAACAATTAACATCGACATTAAATATCTAGTAAAACACGAGTATTAACACAGAGACGACAATAAGGCGCAGGGAATTGATATTTAAAATTCAATATCACTGAGAATAATGTTCAGAAACCAAACAAGTGTATGTGACTGTATTCGCAACAATATTAAAATAAAAATGACAAATAAAAACATTTTTTAAAGCATGTGTAACGTATAGGATTTCTACAAGTCTTTCGATTGGGTCCAACCATATGGCAACGAGTGCATGATTGTCTCCGAACATGTTCTCCTGTAGAAGAAATTCTTCTTTTCTTCGGCCTTCCAGGAGGTCGTGATTCACATGATTGGGGGCTGCAAATGACTTGACTAACATATGAAGGTACCATCCAACCATCCAGACTCCCAATAGGATGAATAATATCATAGTATGTTTGTGCCCAATGATGTGTTGTATAGAATTATAAAATGTAATCGTAGCAAGAAAGTCCTTGCCAGGAGCGAATAGCACCAACGAAATGTACACTCAAAAATTCATCAAGCTGAAATTCCCGACAAGTGCATGTGACAACATACGAGCGGGATCTCTGATCAAACACCTCAAACTCAAAAGCACATGATGGTTTGACCTGCGCAATTTTTTATAAAACATAAAAAACTATAATTAAATAGTTAGAACGGTAAAAGTAATTGAATAATGCACAAAGTTAGAATATGTTTTAAAATAGCAGTGAAAATGAAGACAAAAAAGCACTGAAATGAAGACAACGAGTTGAGGGGAATACTGTCATGACGACCGCCATAGCTTGTAAAACTGCTAGTTCAGACTCAAGGTGTGCAGATAAACGACAAATGTTTGACGCAAAAGATTCTTGCCATTCACAAAACCACTTTTGCATTCGTGCAATAAACTCTATCAACTTACATATTGGGTATTCTCGGGCAGTCGCATTAACTGCATTTAATGACTCTGCATTGTTTGACATCATAACAAAGTATCGATTGTGACTAGCATAAGCATGAGACCATTTGTCGACTGTCGTGGCCCATCCGCTCTAAATACGTACTGATGGAGTATTAACTCCTAGAGAGAAGTGAGAGCTAGAGAGAGAAGTGCAATGTCTTAATGAATTTTGTGAACCCTTTACATGGCTCCCAAAGGGAGTATTTATAGGGAAAAGTGGGCTGGGCTCCCAAGCCTTGGGCTTGGGAGGCCCATTTACAATGGGGCCTCTATTGGGCTGAGTACAAAATACGTAGAAGTAATTAAGTGTGAAGCCCGATTATGTGAGTTCCTTCTGGCCGACAGAGACGCTCGGCCGACGGAGGCATGGCCGACGGGGGCATGGCCGACGAGGACACTGGCCGAGGGAGGACAAGTCTTCTACTTGGCTTCTGGAGCATATTCCGGTTGTACTCTTCTTCGGCCGATGGGGTGCCACCTGGCCGATGGAGGGCTCACTGGATGACAGTTGTGCTCCTCTTAGTCTTCTGAGTATGTGGGTCATGGGATCTGGACTCATATACTCCATCAGGAGTCCCCCACTCTCTGAGCTGAGATGCAGACGAAGTGAAAGGGAGTAGATTCTCGTTGTTCTGACGCTTTGGCCGACGGATAAATGTCCTTCATTTTGAGGACGATGAGTGTCCTTCGTTTTGAGGACGATGAACGTCCTTCATTTTGAGGACGATGAGTGTCCTTCGTTTTGAGGACGATGAATGCCCTTCATTTCGAGGACGATGGATGTCCTTCATCTTGAGGACGATGGACATCCTTCATTTTGAGGATGATGAACGTCCTTTATCTCGAGGATGATGGACGTCCTTCATTTTGAGGACGATGAACGTCCTTTATCTCGAGGACGATGGACGTCCTTCATTTTGAGGACGATGAACGTCCTTTATCTCGAGGACGATGAGTGTGACCCCTGCGCAGCCGATGAGGCATCACAATTGCTTTCAACGCTCCAGGCCAAGGAAAAATCACTCGTAGTTTGTTGCCAATGGCTTTGAGGACGATGAGGGTCCCGGACCAGAGGACGTTGGGCGCCCTTGGCTCTGCGGATGATGAATGTCCTGCCCTCGTGCCTTTGACTTTAGTTGATGGATCTTACGCTTGCGAACGTTCGTGGCGCGTTTGTTTTGTTCGTGATATGTTCGATGAATGTCATTGTCCCGGAGACAATGCATGCCATTGGCCTTGAGGATGAGGAGTGTCCTTGATATTGAGGACGATGGACGTCCTTCATTTTGAGGACAATGAACGTCCTTTATCTCGAGGACGATGGATGTCCTTTATCTTGAGGACGATGAATGTCCTTCATTTTGAGGACGATGAATGTCCTTGAGATTGAGGACGATGTGCATCCTGCTTTGCGCTTCGGCTTAGCCGAAGGGTGACCACATGGCTGTGGACGTTGATGTACCATTGTCATAGGCTTGTGTTCGTTGCATTTTTGAACTTTTTTATCTTTGCGCTGGAGGCCGATGTAGTCCCCCAGACCTTCGTCTGGCCGATGAAGACATGGCCGACGGAGGTACCACTTGGTAGTCCTTGCTTGCTGTTGCTTTCTGGATGTTTCATGTATGTGGAGGCCGATGTAGTCCCCTAGTCCCCCACTCCTCGAGGCTCATGTAGTGAGGTGAAGAGGAGTAGAGCAATACACGTCTTCAATGGGGCGATGCCTCGTCACAAACCTCATTAGGAAAAACCCTGTGGGAAAAAATCCTAATGAGGGAAAAAGAGCACACCGGATCCCCCAAAATGAACTCCGAGGGGTGAACCCTTCGGCCTAGGTGTGAAGCTGCAGCGGTGTCCGTCTGCTGAGGGGACGCCCGCCTGTTGGTGAGTACGACGACACTGATGAGCCGGTCCGAATATGAGGATGAGGCGATGGATGTCTGTCTGAATGTGAGGACGACGGTGGTAATGAGCCGTGCGTCATATGAAGGCGACGGTCACTGTCCAGGAAGAGAATTGCGAGCCTGGTCGCTATAACAGTACCTCGGCGTTGGGAGCCAGTCTCGAGATATGAGGACGGTGGCACTGGGGGCCGGTCCGAAATCCATGCAATGGTCGCCATCCGTTAAACGAATGGCTAAGACCGGTCTTTGAGATACGGGATCACGCGAAGGTCAAGAAGCCGTTCGTGACCTGGGGACAAGGACAGTGATGAAGCCGGTCGTACGATAGAGGCGATGGTCACCATCCAGGAAAGGATGGCGAGGCCAATCGCTACAACAAGACTTCGGTGCTGTGAGCCGGTCTTGATGATGGATAATCACGTCGGGGCCGGGGGCCGTTCATGACGTATGGACGGTGATGATGAGCCAGTCCAATGAATGATGACGAGGCATCGATGAAGCCGATCGCCACATAAGCTCAGGACACTCGGCACTGAGGAAGCCGGTCTTTGAGATGTAGGAGCACACAGAGGCTGAGAGGCCATTCGTGATCTGAGGACGAGGCGATGATAAAGCCGGTCCTTTGATGAAGGGCAAGGCATTGGACTCCCTTCCTTAGATGAAAGGACAAAGGCGTTGGACGCCTGTCCAAGGTTGAGGATGATGACGCTGATGAGGCTCGTCCTTTATATGAAGGCGAGGGTTGCCATCCAGAAAGGGAGTGGCAAGCCCGCTCGCTAGCCCAAGACGCTCAGCACTGAGGAGGCCGGTCTTGAGATGAAGGACAAGGCGTTGGACGCCCGTCCAAAGTTGAGGACGATGACGCTGATGAAGCTGGTCCTTTGATGACGACGGCGTTGATGGGGCCGTTCGTGTCATGAAGGCGAGGGTGGCCATCCAGGAAGGGAGTGGCAAGCCCACTCGCTAGCCCAAGACGTTTGGCACTGAGGAGGCCGGTCTTGAGATGAAGGATAAGGCGTTGAACGCCTGTCCGAAGTTGAAGACGATGACACTGATGAAGCTCGTCCTTTGATGACGACGGCGCTGACGGTGCCGTTCGTGATATGAAGGGCCAGACTTTGACCATGGCTTGAAGATGAAGGGCGGCGATGGACGCACGTCCCTTGATGAAGATGGCGTTGATGAAGTCGTACGTCATGTGAAGGACCATGCTTTGACGCCGGTCTGAAGATGAGGACGACATTGATGAGCCGTCTGTCCTTTGATGAAGGATGGCGTTGGATGCCTGTAGATGAAGGACGGCGTTGGATGCACGTCCTTTGATGACGACGACGTTGATGAATCCGTTCGTCATATGAAGTACCAGGCTCTGACCCTTGCTTGAAGAAGAAGGGTGGCGCTGGACGCACGTCCCTTGATGACGA